CAGCTGTGCAGGAGTTGAGGAAGAAGAAAGGAAGAGCAACAGATATACAGTGATTGGGAATTCATTATTTAGGAGGGATAGAGAGATGTTTCAGTGGCAACAGAGGTGGCACCAGGATGGAATGTTGTCTCCTGGTATCAAGGTTAAGGATGTCACAGCACCTGCAAGACATTTTCTTGCAAGGGTGAATAGCCAGAGGTCAAGTTCCATGTGGATACCAATGACATGGTAGTAAGTGGAATATGGTCCTGGAATCAAAATTTAGGGAGTGAGGCAGAAAATTAGCAGGCAAGACCTCAAATGTAGTAATGTCTGGATTACTCCCAGCGCTACATGCAAGACAGCATAGAAAGATAAAATAGATTACTGCAATGCTAGAAAGATGGTGCAAGAGGAAGGACTTTAGATTCCTAGAACACTGAGAGAAGATGGAAGATCTAGGAAGACAGCAACTGTGCAAACTGGATGGGTTCTACCTGAACGGAACTAGGACTGAGGTCCACGAGGGGTGTTTTGCTAGTGCTGTAGGAAGGGCCTTAAAATAACTTGGAAAAGATGTGGAAACCAGATAATATTTTACAAGAATACCATAGTTCACAAAATACTTGGACAGACTGATTGCACTAGCATACAGAACACTGAATGAATACATGAAGTTGGAGAATGTGAGAAAGTAATGAAGTCAAAATCAATGTTACTGTGCACATAAAAGAATGCATGGAGTATAGGAAGGGGAATTCAATAAGATCATAACATCATCCTATTCAGTACCCTGATCCTGCTTTTGTCCTGAACCCGAAAGATATCTTTAGCCACAATATCCATATCTTTCTCCTTCTTGAAAATATTCAATGTTTTGACCCTTGGTTCTGGGTTCCACAGTCATCCTTCCTGCATTTACCCAGTCTAGTCCTGTTAGAATCTTTCACTATGAAGGTCATCATACCATTTTCCTTCTTCCCGCATGTTTACTTTCAGTGGCTGGTGTACAAGGACATCCAGGTCTCGCTGCACCTCCCATCTCCCAATCTACCTCCATTCAGATAATAATCGCCTTCCTGCTTTTGCTACTAAAATGGACAATCTCACATTTATCCACATTATACTTCACCTGCCATGCATTTGCTCACTCACACAACTTGTCCAAATCACACCGAAGCATCTCTGTATCTTCCCCACAGCTCACCATCCCATGCAACTTTGTGTCATCTGCTAACTTGGAGATATTACATTTAGTTCCCTCATCTAAATCATTAATATATGGTGAATAGCTGGGATCCAAGCATTGATCCCTGTGGTACCCACGGGTCATTGCCTGCCACTCAGAAAACGATCCATTTATTTCTACTCCGTTTCCTGTCTGTGAAGCAGTTCACTATCCATGCCTGTACACTACCCACAATCCTGTGTGCTTCATTTTTACATGCTAATCTCTTTTAGGGGATCTTATCGAATATGTTCTGAACGTCCAATTAGACCACATCCATTGAATCCCCCGATCAACTTTATAAGTTACATTATCAAAAAGTTCCAATAGATTTCTCAAGCATGACATCCCCTCTCTAAACACTGATTCTATCCAATTCTGTCACTGTTTTCCAAGTGCTATTGTGGTAATAACAGAAACGTGACTCAAGAAAGCGTTCACAAAAGGAAAGGGAGGGATTAGCAGTATTAGTTTAAGTAGAGCATTGTAATGCTAGAAAAAGAGAACATTTCAGAGGCTTCAAAGACAGAATCAATTTGGCTAGATCTAAGGAACATGGCTAGGTGTAGTCAACAAACCACCAATGGTTGAAGGATGTAGAGGAATAAATCTGTAGGGAAAATCGCAGTGAGAAAACAACATTATAGAATAGTTTTAATGTAGAAATTGAATTCCAAACATAGACTGTTATTCTGGTAATTTAAGGGGCTGAGAGGAGTATGGAGTCATACAACACAGAAACAGACCCTTCAGTCCAACTTATCCATGCTGACCAAGTTTCCCAAACTAAACTAGTCCCATTTGCCTGCATTTGGCCCATATCTCTCTAAACTTTGCCTATTCATGTACCTGTCCAAACGTCTTTTAAATGTTGTAACTATACCGGCATTTACCACTTCCTCTGGCAATACTTTCCACATACAAACCACCCTGTGTGCTTTCCTATATTGCGTTCAAGAGAATTTCCTACAGCCATACATAATTAGTGCAACAAGAAGGGATGCAATGTTTAACTTGGTTCTTGAGATAAGATTAACCGAGCTGATCAAATACACATGGATTCGGTGGTGGGGCGGGGGGAATCATTTTGGAGATAGGGATCATTGTATTGTAAGCTTTAGGATGATGGTGGTGAAGGACAATAGTCAGCCCAAAGTAAGAAAAATCAACTTGTGGTGAGCTAACTTCTTTGGGGCAAGAATGGAGCTGGACAGGATAGACTGGAATAAAAGATTAGTGGAAAAAACTGTAACCGAGCAGTGGGCTCAGGGAGGAGAGCAGATAGTTTAAAGAGGAGATAGTTTGGGTACGTTAAGCTATATTCACTAAAAGGGAAAGATACAGCAAACAAATCCAGAGGTTCCTGGATGATCAAGGAGGTATAAATTAAGATAAAGGTGTACTTATGACAAATATCAGACAGAAAATACGCTTGACAACCAAGAGGAAGTCAGAAGGTTTAGACAGGAGGTGAAAAGGCACATTAGAGAAGCAATGAGGAATTATAAGAAAAGACTGGCAGCCAACATAAATGAGGAATCCCAAAGTCTTCCACAGGCATATAAATAGTAAAAAAGGAGTGGCAAAAGGAGAAGTGGGCTGAAAAAGGGAATTATACATGGATGCGGTGGGCATGGCTGAGTTATTAAATTAACATTTCACATCTGTCTTCATTAAGGAGGTAGATGTTACCCAGGCCATGGTGATAAAGATGGAAACTGTCACTGGAAAGGTTCACTACTTAAGGAAGTAGTGTTGGATAGACTACTAGTACTTAAATTAACATGATTTTGGAGCTGAAAGAGATGCAATGATACTGAAGGGAGTAGAGTGGAAACTGCAGATATCCATAATCTTGCAGTCTCTCCTACACTTGGGAGATGCTGGAGAACTGAAGAACTGCAAACATCACATTCTTGTTCAAAAAAAGTTGTGGGACAAGCCCAGCAATTGCAGAGCAGCCAGTTTAACTTCAGTATTAGGGTGGCTTCTAAAACAATCATTTGCAACCATAATATAGTCAAATGGAAAAAGGTGGATTGATTAGGAAGAACCAATACCGACTTTGAAACAGGAAACCACATTTAAACCTGCCCCTTTTTGGAGAGAAATAACAGAAAGGTTTAAAGATGTGGTGAACATGGACTTCCAGAAGGAACTTGATAGAGTGCCACAGAAAGGACAGAGTGAGAATAACATAGCTCATGGAATAAAAGTGACAGGAGCAACATGGATACAAACTAGCTGGATGATAATAAATAGACAATGGATATTTCTTAGGCTAGAGGAAGGTTTGTAGTAGAGTTCCTTGGGGGTCTGTTTGAAACCTTGCTTTCAAAATGTGGATGATACAACACTTGGAAGAATTCTAAACAATGAGATGTACAGTGTAGAACTTCAGAAGGTCATAGACAAGTTGGTGGAGTGGGCGGATAAGTGGCTGAAGTCTTATGTAGAGAAGTGTAAGGTAATGCCTTTCGGCAGGAAAATCATGAACAGATAATTTAATAGATTTCTAAAGGAGATACAGGAGCACAGGAAATTGTCTGCATTTGTGCAGAGATCACTGAAGGTGGAAAGAGCAATTAATATAGCATATATTACCCAGGATTTTATTAATACAAAGGAGGTGATCCTTAACTTACATACAGCACTTACTAGGTCTCAGCTACAATATTGTGTACAGTTTTGGTGGAGAGAACCAGAAAGAAATTTCAAAGAGCAGTTCCAGTGGTGAGAAATTTCAGTTGTTAGGTTTGATTGGAGAAATTGGATCTGCTCTTCTTGGAAAGACAATGATGAAGAGGAGACCTAATACTTTCAAAATTATGAGGGGGGGGGGTAAATAAAGGAGATAGGAAGAAACTGCTCCCACTCTCAAGAGGATCAACAGCAAGATGGCAGAGATATAAAATGGTCTACAGGAAAAGAAAATGCCAGATGAGAAAATATGTTTACATGCAAGTGGTTCTTGTATGGAATACACTGCCTGGAAGAGCGGTGAAGGGAGTTTCAATCAAGGCATTCAAGAGGGCACTGATAATAGAGAGCCAGTCAGACTTGATGAGCTAAATGGCCTCCTTCTCCACCACTTGGATGGAGAGTGAGTGCAGAAACATGGTGTTATCGAGTATGGAAACCCATTCGCAAGTTAACCTTTAGGAACCTTTAAGAAGTAGATGAAGAAGAGGAGTAAAACATCATAGATTAATCAATGAAACTACACTCAGTTTTGATATTTAACATTATGAATAAGTAAATCTCCTTGAGTTTTACTAAGCTACAGGGCTTTGACATAGAGGCAAAAGCTTCTGGGAACTGACGTCAACCTGCCAAATGTTCCTCCCTTTGGGGAGGTTGCTAGATATAATTTGATACTACTAGAGAACTGTAACAGCTGATAATTTGACTGGAAAGAAATCAATGTATTTCCTTCCATGCATTCTCACTGGACACACTGGACATCAGTACTCAAATAATATACTTATCTTCATATTTCAACTGGATGAAGCAAATTTAAGCCAGTGAACAATCCAAAGTGCCACAGAAACAAATAATTCACATTATTCATGTCTCTCAAAAATCAATGTTTCGCAAGGGTGAAATCCAGATTAACATATGTGCAAATACACAAGCGGACAATCATTTTGCTATTGCTTTTCAGAATGGTTATGGCTTTCCAAAATAATTAAGATTGGATTAAAATTTGAAAGGTAAGTCATTAATGACAAACTTAATAAAGATCTAAATCACTATCAGATTTGTTCTTGTTCTTTAAATTGTTTATACTCACAACCAGTATCTTTAAGGCGATTGATGGCATTGGAAAGGAGTCGCACGCAACCAAGGAAGCCTGCGCCCTGTTTCTTGTGAATTTTCTTGTGATTCCAAACACTGATTGTTATAGAATCTGATCTCCCAATATATCTGGAAACAATAAAAAGGTATTAAAATTATATATTAATAATAGAAGCAATTTAAAATCCAAAAGAACTGTGGATGTTGTAGATCAGAGACAGAAACAGAGTGTGTTGGAAAAGCTCAGTGGGTCTGCCGACATCTGTGGAGAGAAATCAGAGTGATGTTTTGGGTCAAGTGACCCTTTCTCAGAACTCAGAATAAAAGCAATTAGTTTGCTTTTCTTTTGAAGTCAATTTTGATTAAAATAAAGGCAAAAATACTGTAGATGCTAGAGATCGTTAACAAAAACAAAAAGTCCTGGAGGACCTCAGGAGGTCTCCCAACATCTGCGGAAAGAGAAACAGAAAGAATCTTTTGAGTCCAGTATGACTCTTCTCACTACTACTTCTCGCTTCGACCCCTTGTCCTCAATTATTTGTTTTTGTATGCTATATACCATCCAAGAGAGTAGACAGATTACACTACACAAGCTCTCTATAGGAATAGGGATCTAGCAACAGAATATTCTGCTCTGTTCAGACAAACAATGAAATCGCAGCTGACCTGCATCCACATTTTGTTCACCAGTGTTGGCTCCATAATCCCTTAATATCATCAAGGGATAAATCTGGCCGAAGTTTAACATTAGAGTAGTAGCCGTTGCTTTCTCAGAAAATGTGTTTCATATTTCTACAATATTTTGCACAAACAGGTGTTCCCTAATTTCTCTTCTGAAAAGGCTGGTTCTGATTTTAAGGTAATGACCTCTAGTTCTAGACTCCCTAGCAGTTGAAAAAAAGTCTATCTACATAACACTACCATTCTAAATCCTTAAACCTCAATCAAATCACTCCCGCATAATCTTCTACATTCCAGCAAACACAGCCTTAATTTTTGTGACTCTCCACATTACTGAATTCTTGGGGCCCTAATAAAACTCTGGCAAATCTGATCTGCATCCTTCTCTCAACAGTACATCTTAACCACAGTATAGTACACAAAACTGCATATAGTACTCTGGATGAGGTTCAACTAAAACTTGTCTGTATTTCTGTAGCATCAATGCTGACAAGCACTGTAGATGTTATCACTCCCAACAATGTGCAATTTTGTTACCAATTTCTCCATCTCTCTTTTGCTGTGGTATACAGTTACCCAATGCCCAAAAAGTCATTCTTTCTGGAGGCATGTCAATGCTGGTTATTTAATAACAGGCAGAATCACAGCCAAATCTGATTCTGCCCAATCTTCAGCTGACAATGAAATGTGTAGTAACTGAAACAATGTCCCTGCATTGCAAACAAAAACACAAGTTCTGATGGTCTTTTGCAATGTGGAGAGGAAAATCAATGTCAAGTTATCTGAAATCAACTAACTATAGACCAGCAATCAAATCTGACTTCATAGTCTCATTACTTACATGCTACTTTACAAACCAAGCTATTGGGGGAAATCCATTTTGTTCCCTTTTATTATTTTGTAATTTACCTGATACATTGTCTAATACCACTTCATAGAACTGCTTCAAGAATCAACATCACTATCAAGAAAAGATTAAACTATTTAGATGTAACCAATATACATGGCAGCATGAAATGATTTTAACTGTACGCCTTTACCACAATTACTTTTAATAGGAAGTCTCAAACCTAGTTAACAGTGCACAGCTGCTGTGATTCTGAACAAGTCTCAAAATAACGTAAAAATAATTTTCCCCACTCAAGGTATTAGTCACTGCTCCACAAGAACCTGAAGTATATTTTTGCTTTTAAAAGGATGGTAACAGGAATAGGTATAACCATGGCAGGAGAGTGTTTATACAGTAGATTGTTTGGCTTATTGTTTCAACTCTTTCGAAGGGTTAGTCCTGTTTCCAGTCCTTTCCCTTCAGCCCTGTGAAGTATTTACTTCCCTTTATATATAAATTAGACTTACAGGCAAATATGTACAAGATAACAAACTTCAGCACACTCTAAGCTAATTTTGGTATAAGGGTTGGTCCATCTTGGTAGATTAATAAATAAAGTCAGAGCATTTTAGAACAATTATTTAAATCCCAAATTGGAATTGCAACTTTCCATAACATTTGGCATTACAGGCAGTTCTCCTATAACGCGAGAGTTGCTTTCTTGCATGACCTCGTGCGATAGAAAATAGTAATCTAAAATCATGTTATCGGGAAATCGCTATACCTGTAGAGCGGGAAGTTCGTGTTATCCAAACAGTGTCCACTATTCATCAATCGCCTTACAGCCAATTAGCACCAATGAAACATGCATTATAGCAGAACTATCTGTATCTGGAATTCATACAACTTGCAGGTGTAAGTACACAAAGTTGACATTTAACACAAAAAGAATTCTTCCTTCAGGACAATGAGGAGTTTCAGTCATAATTATGGACATTATATGGACAGTTAAAAATATTTTAGACATCAAAGTGTGGCTTCGTCAGGTTGTTTTTGTACAAGAACAATACCAAAAGCTTACAACTAAAAGATCACATCAATGCAATGACGGGCTTGGGTGTGTGCGCGCACACGTGCGTGTGTGTGTGAATGACAGCATGAGAGAGAGAAAGACAGCAGTATCCTCTGGAGAAGCACTGAATCACAACACAAGCAACTTCGCTTTTAACTGTGCATCTACATACAAGTTCCTCTTAGTTTCAAAGGAGCAACATTACCAAACACAGGCTGCTTCATCATTATTGCTACCGCAAAATGTGAACCAACATATACTAAAATGGTTTATTCAATAAAGCTTATTTGCATGTATTATGTGAAAATTAGAGATAAATCAGAGATAGCAGGAACTGCAGATGCTGGAGAATCTGAGACAACAAGGTGTAGAGCTGGATGAACACAGCAGGCCAAGCAGCATCAGAGGGGCAGGAAGGCTGACGTTTCGGGCCGAGACCCTTCTTCAGAAATGGGGGAGGGGAAATAAATAGGGAGAGGGGGGAGGCGGATAGAAGATGGACAGACGAGAAGATAGGTGGAGAGGAGACAGACAGATCAAAGAGGCGGGGATGGAGCCAGTTGAGGTGAGCGTAGGTGGGGAGGTAGGGAGGAGATAGGTCAGTCCAGGGAGGACGGACAGGTCAAGGGGGCGGGATGAGGTTAGTAGGTAGGAGATGGGGGTGGGGCTTGAGGTGGGAGGAGGGAATAGGTGGGAGGAAGAACAGGTTAGGGAGGCGGGGACGAGCTGGGCTGGTTTTGGGATGCAGTAGGGGGAGGGGAGATTTTGAAGCTTGTGAAGTCCACATTGATACCATTGGGCTGCATGGTTCCCAAGCGGAATATGAGTTGCTGTTCCTGCAACCTTCGGGTAGCATCGTTGGGGCACTGCAGGAGGCCCAGGATGGACATGTCGTCTGAGGAATGGGAGGGGGAGTTGAAATGGTTCGCGACTGGGAGGTGCAGTTGTTTATTGCGAACCAAGCGTAGGTGTTCTGCAAAGCGGTCCCCAAGCCTCCACTTGGTTTCTCCAATGTAGAGGAGGCCACAACGGGAACAGCGGATGCAGTATACCACATTAGCAGATGTGCAGGTGAACATCCGCTTGATGTGGAAAGTCTTGGGGCCTGGGATGGGGGTGAGAGGGGAGGTGTAGGGGTAGGTGTAGCACTTCCTGCGGTTGCAGGGAAAAGTGCCAGGCGTGGTGGGGCTGGACGGGAGTGTGGAGCGGACAAGGGAGACCCAGAGAGAGCGGTCCCTCTGGAAAGCAGATAAGGGTGGGGAGGGAAAGATGTCTTTGGTGGTGGGGTCGGATTGCAGATGGCAGAGGATGATGCGTTGGATCCGGAGGTTGGTGGGGTGGTACGTGAGGATGAGGGGGATTCTGTTTTGGTTGTTATTGCGGGGAGAGGGTGTGAGGGATGAGTTGCGGGAGAGACGGTCGAGGGCGTTCTCGACCACTGAGAGGGGGGAAGTTACGGTCCTTGAAAAACGAGGACATCTGAGATGTACAGGAGTGGAATGCCTCATCTTGGGAGCAGATGCGGCGGAGGCAAAGGAATTGGGAATAGGTGATGGTATTTTTGCAGGAAGGTGGGTGGGAGGAGGTGTATTCTAGGTAGCTGTGGGAGTCGGTGGGCTTGAAATGGATATCGGTTTCTAGGTGGTTGCCAGAGATGGAGGCAGAGAGGTCCAGGAAGGAGAGAGAGGTATTGGAGATGGTCCAGGTGAACTTAAGGTTGGGGTGGAAGGTGTTGGTGAAGTGGATGAACTGTTCGAGCTCCTCGTGGGAGCACGAGGCGGCGCTGATACAGTCATCAATGTAACGGAGGAAGAGGTGGGGTTTAGGGCCAGTGTAGGTACGGAAGAGGGACTGTTCCACGTAACCTACAAAGAGGCAGGCATAGCTTGGGCCTATGCGGGTACCCGTGTGCACCCCATTTGTCTGTAGGAAGTGGGAGGAATTGAAAGAGAAGTTGTTGAGGGTGAGGACGAGTTCGGCCAAGCGGATGAGGGGGTCAGTCAAGGGGGACTGGTTGGGCCTGCGGGACAGGAAGAAGCGGAGGGCCTTTAGGCCATCTGTATGGGGAATGCAGGTGTACAGGGACTGGACGTCCATGGTAAAGACGAGGTGTTGGGGACCGGGGAATTGGTGGAGGTGGAGGGCATGGGTGGTGTCACGGACGTAGGTAGGGAGTTCCTGGACCAAGGGGGAGATGTCTTATACATTTACAGAAGCATCACAAGCAACCATGCTATTTTAAGGAAAAACAAACATAAAAATACAAGTTATCAATCTTTATGGAAACTCTTCCTCTAGAGACTCGACCATGATTGTTACACATTAATAGAAAAACCCTGAGTTAATTCCCTGTGGCACTCAAATTATTCATTGGGAACTCATTCACAGCAGAAAGTGAAGCTGAACATAGCACAAATTTCTCAGGTTTTGGAGTAGATCTGTAGCTCGGGTTGTGGGTGTTCAGGTTGGTTGGCTCGCCCAGCTGTTTTGTTGTCCCACAGACGTTTCGTCACCGTGCTGGGTAACATCCTCAGTGCAGCCTCTGATGAAGCATCGGT